GTTGTTTTGCTCGGTGTCATGTGGATTTTTTCGGAGCTTTACCTCGTGTACTATACGACTTCTTGGTAAGCAGTCTCTTCAGTTTTCAGCGCTCTTGTTCGATTGGTTTCGTAAATGTTCCGAGATAATCACCCATTCGGTAACATTCCCATAATGCACAACATATGCACTGATGGACGTCCTTCATAAACTCCACATTCACTTATGGGGTGGGATATCGTTCGGACACCTCCTTTCTAGGGGCGGGGTCGTACCGATTTTCCGCGACCTGATCCTTGACCTGCTCCTGCTGTAGGTCTACTATAGCGCGAACTAGTTCACTTATCAACACTATACTAGCTGTCATGAATTCTCCTCGGCGAACGGATCGCGCTTCACGGAGCGACACAGGTCGGTGTCCCATGGGAGTAGCCAGTGCTCTGATCTTCTTCAGCTGGACCTGCACCTCCTGCAAGCAGATCTCGTACGAGCCGATGTCACAGATTCCGCCGGGAACCGGGAAAGACCGGGCAATTCATCAACGAGATCACGCCAGACACCACTGCGAGCCCCGCCCGACGGCCACGACTACTTGTCAGCGCCGACATAGATGTTCAAATTTTGTTTCATAACTTCTGCTTGTGTGACTTTTCTGCACTTTTGTTACTACGCCTACACCCACTAACTGACAAGGACTACAATCATTTTCTTGTATATGTATAGGCCGTAAGTAACAGAAGTGCAGAAAAAGTCACACACGAAGTTATTGAAAACCATATTCGAACATCTATGTCGCGAGCTGACATAGGCAGGCGTGGCCTCGGGGCGCAGCTCGCAGTGGTGTCTGACGCACGATATGGTTGATGAATTGCCAGGTCTGAAAGTATGGTAAAAATGGAATCGGAAAAAGATGAATTCGTTCTGAATAGTGGTGAATAGTTTTGAAAGTAGTGAATCTGGTTGTAAAAATGTCAGTTTCAAGTGAAAATGGTATACAGCCTCACTGGGCGAGGCCAGCTCCCACTGCACCGCTGTCCTGGAATCCGAAAAGAAACAGAGCTCGTGCTAATCCTCTGTGCTATTGTCAAGCCTGAAGATCAACACACCACTGCTCACGTAATGCCACCATCAGCAGTGGAAATCTACAGGCTATGCAATCCTAGATGTTAGCATTTAAACATTAGTCAGAACAACCGTGAGTCGGATATTTATACATCAGATCCCACTGAAATGGACAGACAATGGGGAAAAATGGACAATCAATGGAGAAGAAACGGAAAAATTAAAGTTAAACAAGTCTCTCGCTGAGTGGACAGTGTCGTTTTTCGCAAATAAAAGGTATTCTTTTTTTACCTTCGGTGTCGTTCCAACCATACCAATACATAGTGACCATCTGTCGGAGTATTGCTGAAACTTGTGAGTTCTTAGATTGCATAGAACTTTCAGAGGCACATTGATATTACCTCAACCGCGTCTTCTGTTCCTTTTCCTCGCGTATGCTTTCCATGATTGTTTGGTTCATCTGGATTCCAGTGTGTGTAATTGCAGGTTACACCGCTTAGCCAAACAAACTCCCCATGCTTTAAACGTAGCCCAATGTATATTTTATCCTTTGGATCCTCATAATCGTCAGACAAATAGTTGAGAACTGAAAAAGCTGTATAAAGACATAAGTTCAGAAGCCACTCATCTCGGGCTGTTAAGTTCCCTCAGTACAACCCTGAATTCACAGATTCTCGTACTGATCAAAATGAATACATATGTGATTCTACTGTTCACAAGTAAGCTGTGGTATATTTGGCACTGGGATTTTCACAAAAAAATTTTCCTGCCTATCTTAGAACGCGCTTTTCGCGACGTTATCGAATAGCTCGACTTGGGCGACTTAAGAGACCAAGGACGTTCCTTAACCGTCTCGGATTCCCAGAAGTTTCACAGTATTGCAAAGGTAGCCTGCGTTGAAAGCATCTTCTTAGCCAAACAGCATGCGGAACTCAAGTTCGCTTCTATAAAAATGTACTAAAACCATCTTTAATTCTTATTTGCTTTCTGGATGGAGCAGGGTTATAAGATAGTTAATGAGCAGAACAGTGGGCAGGTGTCGGCATTGCTAAATCGTGAGAAACATAATTTCAAAGATTGTGAATGTGCGAAAAAAAAACAAGTTGATGGAGTAGTTAGCTAACCGTCCGAGCTCTTCACTTTCATGCTTATAAATGGTAGAAAACCATCTATCCCTCAATATATAAACCAGAAATTGCATGTGTGTCGGTGTGTATGTCTGTCTGTGTGACCGCTCAAAAATAGGAACTGTGTAAAAATCACTTTTGGGGAACGGATCAAGCTTGGGATGGTTGTGGCATGGGCCAACATTTACAGAGCACATACAAGGTAACCTAGGCTCCGCCCACAATGGGCGGGGCGTGCGCAGGAGCGAACGCGCCAGACAAAACTTGAAAAACGCATCCTGAGCAGCCCAAGAGATAGGTAGAGTGCATGAAGGGCGAGAGCGGGAAGACAGATGAAGTAAGGGAAAGAACCAGTGAGTGAGCGGTGCCCCGCATCGGTGGCACCTGCTGCAAAAGTTCATAATTTTGCCTCGGTGTATACAAAAAGTGAAACGGTAATGTTTTGGAATTGCAAAAAAAACGTTTTTCGAAGGAGGGCGACCCGACTGGCCCTGTGTTGAAAATTCCGGGACCCACTTCACACGCACAAGGAGAATTTCGGGACCCACTTCACACGCACAAGTAGGATCAACCCCCCCACCCCCCGAGGGCGGGCGATCCGACTGGCCCTGTGTTGAAATTCCGGGACCCACTTCACAGGCACAAGGAAAATTCCAGGACCCACTTCACACGCACAAGGAAAATTCCGGGGTCCACTTCATACGCGGCCTCGCCAAACAATCCTCCTTCCGGGTGGTAATTGGGTTCTGCCTCACAGTTTTTTTTTACATGAAGCCTCCTTGCGCGTGATGTGTGTACTCCCCATAGTTTTTTCAAACGAGGGCCAGTCGGATCGCTCGATCGATTGAACAAATTGATTTCAGAAAATTACTACACTGTACGTTTCATTCCTTGTATATACCCCTAGGAGCGGGGCTTAGCTCTGTTCATGTGTGTTCCGTACATCTTGGCCCATGCCCTACCCACTCATCTTTGACCCGCCCCTCAAACTGGCTTTTCAGGTGATTCCGATTTCCGGACAGACAGACGTTGCCATTTTCTTATAGTAGGATAGCAAAGATGACAGATACAGGTGCGGAACAAAGAACTTGGAACAAGCCAAAAAATCGAAACTCCCTGATGCTTGATTCTCCCTGGCTTGTGTATCGAAATATTGTGGATATAGATAAAGTATGCCTGGACGAACTGTTTCCAGATCAGTAAAAACGACCCTAAGCAAACACAAAAGTACGTGAGATCTAGGTTTCGGCGCGCAAGGTCAGCATCCGGATGACATGGCCGAGTATAGGCCTTCACCACGACCCGATTAGGCATCCTCTGAATGCGCTGAAGCATGAGTCGAAGGGAAGAAGACCACCAACATGCATGGAACTGCTCACCACCACCACCAAGTGATCAGTTCCATGCATCAGAGGGAATTCGGAGTGCAATATCCTTGCGTAACCCGAAGCTCCTGTGGAATCGAATCTACAAGTGAAGAAGGCTCCAATCAGATCCACTAGTGACATGCTTCAAGAGTCTTGGGAAAAGGGGTTTATCAAGCAATGGTGAAACGGCAATTATACCATCAGATAGCGCAAAAAATTCTCTTCAGGATGTACTACTGAGACGCAAGGGAGAATGAGTTTTTAATCAGCAATGAATGTACAAAAATAGTAACACAAAACGCTGAGAACTTTCCGGACAACCTAATACATACTCCACTGTTCTTGGTCCACTTGCTAGATGGCAGCATGATTATGGAAGCTTATGTGCAAGACTTTCTTTTTCGAGTGATACGAGTAAGAAGACGTAAATATTCTAAATCTTCTAAATATTTGACTTTCCTTACAAAGTGAGATTCATTTCCAGTGTGAGCAACGGTGGCACTAGGCTAAGGGTCGTTCCCACTGCCAACATAGGAGCTTGAACGGGTCGATCAGGCCATCTGCGATGAGGTGTGTGCATCTCTAGACGCTGATTTAAAACCTGCGCCTCAATTGCGGAACGACTGTCTGGAATGGGTTATGTAAAATCTTCACTCTCCTATCCTCCTACAGCTGTCTTTTTGCAGGAGGTGACTAGGCCACAAAGACGGCTGAAGTCTCACAATAATGGGTTATCTGATACGCTGAGAACAATTATCACAACCATTCTGCATGACAATACATAATACACTCTATAGGTGTATCACTCTTGAGTATGAATGATTGTGGCCTGTAGAATGGTCGTTGCGTGTCGAGGTCAGCAGCGCACTCCGTATCCGTGTTAACGTCGGATGAGTACGATATTTTCGTTCATGGAGTCAAATTAGCCCTGAAGACGAGTTTTCATCTAAATCTGAAGTTCTGACCTAACTCTGAAATAGTGGAGCAGTAGTCAAGTGTGTAGCAGCGACTATGGTCCTGGACTTATCTTGACTGGCCTTGAGATGGCTTGCGTTTCTAGTTATAGTGAAAGCTGAATTGTAGTGAGATGATCCGAAATGGCGAGACGGAGCTCCCAGTAGAAAAATGTAGTCCTTGCTGAATATGCGAGAATAGAAAACAGATTGCTGAGGGCACTTTATTCTGGGGAACAATGCCACAAAATTTCAAGGATGACGCCTACGCATAAAATGGATTGTGCTTCCCTTCAAAAATGTAACTAAAGATTCGATTTAGTCTCAAGACTATGTTTCGATATCATTTTACATCCAGAACTATGACTGGGATTATACCCACCACCATTTTACCCACAACTTACCATCATACCCTATATATAGCAGATACCCTATATAATAGCAGAAGTCTGTGTGTATGTTTGTCCGACCAATAAGAGAGCTAGGTTCCGCCCATAGACTCCGCCCACAACGGGCGCAACCTGCATTTAACTGAGCGGTGGCAGGGACAAAAACTCTTAAAAACGCCGTCAACAAAACTCTTAAAACGCCATTAAC